TGGGTTATCATAATTTGAATTATAAGTATAATTTGGATGTGAATAACCTTAACAATAACAGTGTTATGAAGGAAAGGAATGTTGGTGTAATACTAATAGTTGATCAGTCTCTAAAGCCATCCATGCAATGTACTGTCGTTAGTGGTAGGGCAAATAGGATTTTAGGTTGTATCTACAGAAATATTGAATACAAGTCTGATGATGTTATAATTTCATTGTATAGGTCATTGGTTAGGCCACATTTGGAGTATTGTGTTCAGTCTTGGGTTCTTTACCTTAGGAAAGACATTGAATTGTTGGAAAGGGTTCACAAAAGGGTTACTAGAATGGTGCCTAGGATGGAGGGGTTGTAATTACAGGAGAGGTTGAAATCTCTGACATTGTTTTCTTTTGTAAAAAAAGATTTAGAAGTGATCTGATTGAGGTGTTTTAGATTGTAAAAGGAATTGATAGTGTTGATGCATCATTTTTTTTCATGCCTAACAGAGAGAATAGTAGAACTAGGGGACACAAATATAACTTTTGGCAAGGTATGAGTCTTCTTCAGTTAAGACACTTTAATTTTTTTTAACAGAGTGGTTGGCCATTATGAATGATAAAGACTGGTCTTAAGATTATTGTTTAAATTATTTTAATTTAGTTTAGAAGATGGAACCTGTTTCCCTCATGGTTTGACTCTTAATATTTCCTAGTCTATATGCCTGAAATTAAAATCGCCTATAATTATAACCATATTAAAAACTGAATTCATTATCTCACTGTATAGTTTTTCATGAATTTTATCTGGTGATCTGTGTCAAATTCTATCGAAAAGCCTTTTCCCTTATAACCACTAACAGAAACCCAAACAGATTCAACCTCATTGCTATTAGCTTTGATGTCTTCAACTTGAACAGGCTGTAACTCACATTTGAAATATATAGGCACTCCTCCCCTTCTCTTTTGTACTCTATCACTATTAAATAACCTATAACCCTGTATTCCAAGAAATTCTTATAATCAAAATCATCTACATTTAACCAGTTTCAGTTATTCCCTTTACGTCAAAACCCACTGCAACAACAATTATAAAGTAATCTGTTTTATTTCTTATGCCTCTAGTATTACAATAGCAACAGTTTAGTCTACCATTAAAACAGGGTTTGTATTAATTTTGGAAAGTCTTGGAATATTGCTGATATAATTTCCAGGACCTGGAAAGTTATGGAAATATTGTATTTTATCAAGGGGATTGGAAAAGTCATGGAAATTCTGCAATATTGAAATAAAAGCTTATTATTTTCATGTTTATTATGATGCTTGGGACCATTATTTCTGTGTCCCCCCTTTCAGACATCTAAAGAACTAAACAGTGGTCTGAACACATGCACTTGTGTTGACCACAAAACTAGGCCATTGTGATCAGAAAAGAAAGGTTTGGAGGTGAGGACAATGCCAAACAAATGCCTAGTCAATGAATCCTAGCTTGGGATGGTGGAGTACTCTGGCTGGCTTTCAAAATACCTTCAGAATGATTGACACAGAGCCCACTATACCATGCATTCTAAAACATTTGACATTGGGAATATGTGTGAGGCAGCCATACTAAGTCAGCTGCATGGCAAAATACATGCTCTGTTAGTGTTGAGGAAGTCATTGGAAACATCATCTGACTTAGGTTTCTTATTGATGAAGTGCATGAGTCACTCCTATGACTACAAATATCTCAGGGAACTGAAAAAAAAATATTGGTTTTATCACATGGGCAAGCTCCAATTGAGAAAGGGTTTTCAATTAATAAAGAACTTGCTAAGAGAATATGCAGTCGTTGCTTGAAGGGTAGTGTATGATCACATCCAGGCTGTTGGTGGACTTCAGGAAGTGTCAATATCAAAGCCACATCTTCAGGCTGCTTAAGGAAGCAGACAGAAATATAGGGTATGTCTTGAAGATCAGAAAAATGGAAAGGTTGCAAGTGAGGTGATAGAAAAAAGAAAGTTGACTTTAGAACAATTAGATAATCTTGATTGTAAATGAAAACAGTTACTTGATGAAATGGTTACTTGATTAGAGTTCAGCACTTCTGTCTTCTGCTGATGATCTTCAGAAAAACAAGGAAATTTGACTGATCTTAGTAAGTCGAACAGCTTCAGAAAGTTAGTAAAAATGAAGCAACACAAGATTAGGGAGTTAGGTGAGGAGGTTGAAAAACTGAAACAAAAAATCCAAACTTGTGTAGAATTGTATATGAACACTGTCCTATAGAGCAGTGGTTCCCAGACTTTTAGCAATCACAGACCAGTAAAATACCAAAACGATTTATAGGGACCAACATTCCAAATAAAATATCTAGTAATTACATAAGTAAAATAATACAATATTTACAAAAAAAAATAATTTATTTCAAAAACAAAATAAACTTTTTTACTTTACTTAGGTGACTTTTAGTCATCAAATATTGAAAAAAATAGTGTCAATGCTTTCAACAGTCAAATCATTGCGGACTGGTAAAAATTAATTCCAGTAAAAAGTGAATGGCGATCTTAATATTTTTGGAATTTTTGTGAGGATTTCTGAATATTATCTGTGTTCATAAAAGGTTATTTGCTTATAATTTGGCTGTATTTCTGTAAAAATTACATCATTTTGAGAGCCTATGAAAACTCACTGAACATTCATCCTGCTTGTGTGAAAAACAAAACTGAATTAAATCCTGGTTTGACAGTTTTCATACCATGTTTCCAAAGTTTATTCATATTTTATCTAATATTCAGCTTATTACTGTTAATTCTACAGTTCAGAACTCAGAAAAGTGTTTACTACACTCAGTCTACATGGTCTCACAAATTGAAACACCTGAATTGCATCTCATATAGTTGTTTAAAATGTTAATGAAATTTAAACAGTTAAATTATCACAAGTACACTGAATATATACAAGTAGCTACTTCAGATTTAAGGAGAATAATAACTTAGTGTTCTGTATCCACTGCCAGTCCAGTTTTATATTTAAAATATTCATGTATTGTAATTTATATCTTGCCTATAAAATACTTTTATTGAATTAGATAAATTATTATAGTTTTTAATACTATGATATGGTTAGTTGTATTCTTCAGGTAGTTTTTTTTTGTGCGAGAGTAAAGTATCCGAACAACAGTTTTAAATCTAGGAATTTTCAAATTTGAATGTCTGTTTTTATTTTTCAATTTATAGTGCACTGTTATTAAAGTCTTTTTGGTGTTGTTATCTCAGCATGAGTTTGCTGTCATCAAATCACATCATATTTAGAGATGAATTATACTGAAATGGAAAACTTTAAGAAGAGCAGTTTCATAAAATAGGTAAGAATAATGTTACCGACCCTCTATTAAAAATATTAAGACCCGTTACCTTTTCCAGTGTAATAATTTTATTTTGGCAAAACATTGTTTATCATTGTGCAGTGTGAAAATTAAATGATGTCCAAATGCTGCTACATTATTAACTACAAATAATAAGCTTGAATGATTTTTCTACAATTAAAAGTAACTGTAAAAACAAGGATAATTTTTTGTGAAATATAATACTAATTATAAAAATGACATTCAATGTTAAGCTTATTTCATTATATGGCGTTATGTAATATTTCCTTGTGACTAAGGGAACATTGAATCATCTTAAATTTATACTTCCACTAAATATCCTGATAGCATTTCATATTACATGAACAGTTGTAAACCTTATATTGAGCTAATCTTTGAATGAATGTGTGTGATGTTCATATATACACCTAGATATTAGTTGATAAAACAACTGTCAGAGGTAGATATAAAAATTAGATATTTTCTTATCATCATCCTGAAAAGGGTACATTTTTATACTATCTATCTCAGTAATGATGATTTAAAAAATGGTTCTCAAGCACAATTTAAATCTATGTTTCTTGTTTTCAGACAAAACAATATTCTTAGGTAGTCAACCAGAAAGGATTTATTGACAACCAAAAGTCTAACTTCAAATTAGTTCAAATAAAAGTAAGTAGGCCTAATGCAATAGGCAATTTACATGAAGCTTATTGTGTGACATTTATGCTTCGGTTCTTGGTAGTATTGCTACGCTGGCCCAACTTTGTCAGGCACTCTTGGGTTACAGGCCAAAAACACTACCAGCATTGAAGGTACCCAAATGATGACTTAGGACAGAGTGGTTGTAAAAGCTTTTTGTAGTTTGTCTGTTACTCATAATTAAGACTATTGATTATTAAATGTAATTAGTATTGTAGAATTTTAGCAGCTTTTCAGGTAGAAATTATAAAATATTAACTGAGAATTATAGATAGATATAGCTTTGCAATCAATACCATTTTGATGGTGAAACACTATTATCCAAATTTCAGTAAATAAAAAAGGTTTATTGATGTGTTTATGCCATGATAAAATATAAACTTTAATACATGTGTATTAAGCCCCCCCCCCCCCCAAAAGAGAAATATAATTCTTTATTTATTTATATATTCAGCATTTGTATATAAATATTTTATTCACTTCACAACTTCACACTACTTTGTCCTCCCTGGAAAAATTTCTGTTGATGCCCATGTTTGTTCTTACCCTTGAAGTTACCCAAAATCATAATGCATCCATCAAAATAACTCTCTGTTTGTTACATTAGATATTGTATAGTTAAGGTTTTGTTTCACAGTTCTTTTTGTGAAAGAGTTTTGTTTTTTGGTAGTTAGTTAATTAATTTGTTTGTAAGAAACAAATTTGAGAACTTCTCATTTTTGATTTTATGATTATTATTTTATTCTATTGTTGTGATCAAACATAACATTTGTGAAAAGAATAATTACTTCTTGCCCACCTTGTTCCTTTGCATTCACAGAAAAAGTTTTAACCTCCAAGAAATGTTTTGTTTTTTTGTTTCGATGTGTGAATATAGTTAACAAATGTCCAATACTAATAACCTACTGCTATTTTACGTACCTGTGTGGATCAACCTGTGTACTGTTGTAAGAAGTGAAAGTGTATTTATAACAAAAGAGAAATGCTGCATAGCCAATACAGTATTTGAGCTTGTATACTTTATCAAGATCTTATTGAGTCTTGGATTTCTAGCGTGTGATACATTCAAACTCTTAAAAACTGTGTATTGCTGTTTTTGTGATGCATTACAATTTACAGATTTAAAATGTGAGGGCACTACATATTTTTTCATTTTCTATGCAAGCATAAAAATTCTGGTTTTAAATATAGTGTTGAAGCTGCATATTCCTGTAATAGCTATATTGTAAAGTGAATGCTGTGTTGACAAGACATACCATCAAAATTGTGGAGATCCAGTTAATTATAATAATTATGTTTTACCAGTTTATTTCTCACAGTTTTAGCTCTGAGAAATTCAGAAAATTGTTAAATGATGCTAAATGGATTAAAAACAAATATATATATATATATATATACTAAGCTTGTATCCTTTTTTGTTTAATTTTTTTACATTAAGTTTATTTGTGACTTCAACTGAGAACTCTACAGGTATTGTTGCATTGCAACTGTTGTTAATTGAACTGAGAACAGTACATGTGTATCTATTGCTGCATTGCAAATATTGTTAAAAAGGTCATTAGAATAAACACAGTTATGTTGTAGAACACAATGGTATCCATTGTAAATGCATTAAAAGTTGAATAAATAACTTGTAAAGGATATTTGAATTATTTGTTATCATTGCTATTTTTGTTATTATTTTATCAATTTGCTTTGAAAATAGGTCTAAATTGTATAAGGATTAGTCTTAGTAGGTCATAAGTTTGGTCACTTGATTGAGGCATGAACATTGTTGTTTGATTGTAGACTCATGCCTGTAAGCAGAAAAGCATTTTGAGTGATTTGTAATATAAATAGTTAATGGATTGTTTTTCATGGTGATTTCTATATATCTATCTAGTTTTCAGGTCTTTTAACTGGAATTTAAGTGCCATTTTTAACCACCCAACAATTGTACCTATGTTTTCCAGACTTGGACCTGTTAATTGCAGCTAGTTTAAGTTGTTTTTTCATTGATGTTAATGTTATTTATATTCAAGATATGTTTGTTATAATGTTAATACAGATTTACTACAGATGCTGTAAAACACACCAGTTTTCTTTATTTCATTGTTTTTCTAATTTTTCTTTTTTGTTTGTTTTGATTATACTCCTTATTGTTTTTTTTCTGTCATGGATGCAACTCCTTTATTGTTATATTAATGTGTATGATTTCTCTGTGGGAGTGTGATTTTTCTTAACATAATCATACCTAGAGTTAATTTCTTTTACATGCAGTATTTGTGAATCATTTAGAGTGAAGGTCATTTTAGTAAATAATAATGACTATCTATTGCTCTGACCCCGAGTGGGACAGTGATAAGTCTATGCCAAAATCTAGGGTTCAATTCCCTGCAGTGGACACAACAGATAGCCCAGTGTGGCTTTGCTCTAAAACAATCAAATAAATGTATTATCTATGGGGTTTTGAGTCCATTGTATTTTATCATGTAGTAACATAAATTAATTAAAGTATTTGAATAATGTTATGACATTTTATTGAATTCATTATTCGATATCATACAGTAGACCAACTTTAACAAATATATATATATATACACACACAAAAATGTATTGATCTTATGACTCATATTTAGTGTATGACAGCCATGATATTGGAAATCGCACAAGTTAAAAAACAGCCTACAAACTAGATAACCTAAGTGCTATTGAAAGACATTGTAATTAACATAACCTTTTTTAATGTATCCTTCAAAACTGCACCCTCTATTATAATTTTTTATACTTATTTAGTAGTATTACAGTCACAGTATTGTTAAGAGACTCATTGAAGATGTTGACATTGTTGAAATATGGTTTGTAATATGCTAGATTGTTGTAGCCAAATGTATTTATCATTTATATGATATTTGATCATGGTATCAGATATCAATATAACTTTTCCTAGTATTGTCTAGGTTACTCCTGAATTATATTCTTTTCCTTTGCCAGCTTACACATTTGATATCACTGTCAAAATCTTTAGCTGTTTTTATTTTATGGAACATTAAAATAAAGGTTGTTTGACATTTAATTTATATTCATTAAAAACTTGCACATCAACATTTCGTTAAGTTGTATATGCATATAATATATATTATTATGTTTAAAAATGTTATTCAGAGGTATGAGTAACAGGGGGGAAAATACAAGATTGTAAGTGAGGAATTGGTGAATACTTAGCAGATCAGAGGATCAAACAAGGTATTTCTGGGATAATGGAATATATTGTGCTTCTATCTTCTTGTAGTATTATAATGCTTATTCTGAATTCATTGTTTGTTCTGAATATGTGTAGGTTTAATAGAACACGTGGTAAAGAAAACTATTAAGTTAATCTTTTGTTCTTCTCAAATTATGTAATATCTGATACTAACAGTGTGGACATTTCTTAGTACGACATTGTGTGAGAATGATCAGTCGTGTGGTAGTACATGTTGCTCTTGGTAGGTGTGAGGATTCTTGGGATCTAAGAAACATTTGATTTAACAGTTTGGTCTGTAAAATACTTGAGAATAGTCTAGGAGAACTTGGTAATCAGTAGTCAGCCAGGTCCAAAATAAGTAATTGTAAGTGTACACACTGTTTTTATATTTATGTATAATAAAGATTGTTCATTTTATGTTTCACTTTGTGTTCTGTCTCATTACTACATTTTACATCAACTTGCTTAAATTTAGTAATGCTCTGTTATCAATATCTTGAATGAATCGCCTGTTATTTCATTAAACTATTTGATAACTCATATGAATATTCAATTCACCTGACTATACCACATGTGTTTTTGTAATTAAGGATTCATGATTTTTATATGATAGAATTATGTGTAGTAGACATGACATGGTGAATAATATACTCTGTTTTAGGCCCGGCATGGCCAGGTGGTTAGGGCACTCGACTCGCAATCTGAGGGTTGCGGGTTCGAATCCCCGTCCCACCAAACATGCTCGCCCTTTCAGCCATGGGGGGCATTATAATGTGACGATCAATCCCACCATTCATTGGTAAAAGAGTAGCCAAAGAGTTGGCATTGAGTGGTGATGACTAGCTCCCTTCCCTCTAGTCTTACACTGCTAAATTAGGGACGTCTAACGCAGATAGCCCTCGTGTAGCTGTGTACGAAATTCAAAACAAACAAACAAACAATACTCTGTTCTATGAATCTCCTTTTAAAGATTGTTTTAAGTATAGAAAGAACATGAATTAATGAAAGATGATTCATAGATTATGTAAAGCTATAAAGTAGTAGTGTAGTTATTGTCAAGTCACTTTAGACCAATATGATATTTGCCTTATGATAAGGAGCAGAACATTATATATTAAATATCGGACTTTTGTTATGTTATGTTAATATTGTTTTGTCTTCATAGTAAATATTTTTTTACTACTTGTTAATTATTATTTATTCTTGTCATATGATACACATTGTATCTAACATAAGAAAACAGACATACATTTATTTTAAATGAAAAATGACATGATACATACTTGCAAATATAGTAGATAGCTAACATTGTGTTCAGTCCTGCTTGAGATGTGTTAGCTTCTGTACTTATATTCAACATATTCTTAGACTCGTGGCATTAGGAACAAGCTTATCTTACATTTTGTTATTATGTTTATGAGATTTGATAGTAAACTGAATAATTTCTAATTCATTAAAGTTAATTAAAAACTAAATCTTGGAAATTTATATCTTAAGGAATTTTTATATTTAAAGTTCCAAAATGTAGTGGAACGAGTATTTCAAGTATCTTAATTTTTCTTCTAGATTATGAACTGCTAGCTAAGATCATAGAGGAACAGCCTACCAGGAAAATGACACTCACCAAGCTCCTTCTTCTGGTCCAGTCTAAGATTTATAAGCTTTTAAAACATTAAAGAGATGGTAAAGAAGAGAAAACAAATCCAAATATTACTCAGTGCTCTGTGTGAGCTGAAACAACTTTCCTTAGGAATAAACTCAATGTCTTTCAAGTGTATTAAGTTAACACTAGTATAAAATATGTATCTTCTTAGTTGTTTACTGAAATACATTTGTGTGTTTGAATATGTTGATGTGATCTTTAAGTTGAGGTTATGCTAAAACACTTTTTTTGTGTGTAAAATTTAACATTATTTGCATGTGTTCCTCCAACAGCTTTATACCCTAAATATTTAGCATTATCATAAGATAATAGCCAAAGATTATGAATGTAGTATTTAACTGTTTTATTTTGTTACAGATAGTGAATATTTTGATTAGTTTTTAATTTCGCATGCTTCTTCTGTTTATGTACTTTTGTATTTCAAACATTGATTTGTCTTATTGATTGCTGTCCTGTAAGTGTTGATGACTATGGAAAAATATTTAATTGTTCACAAATGTATATCTGAAGAAACAGAGGGAGGAAGAATGAGATAGTATACCAGTAAGTAGTATGGAATTTTATCAATTCAAACATAACATTTATGAAAAGAATAATTACTTCTTGCCTACCTTGTTCCTTTGCATTCACAGAAAAGTTTTAGCCTTCAAGAAATGTTTTGTTTTTGTTTACGATGTGTGAATATAGTTAACAAATGTCTAACACTATTTAATCAATTTGTTTTTCCAACCTTATCATTATATAAAAAAAAAGATGTCTCACACAATGTTAAACTGTCCCACCAAAGACTTCACCCCTCAGGTCAGAATTTGATGCTTCTGTTACGTCATTTTCACTACATGACGTATACATTTCTGAGTGGTCACAGGTACCACATTTTCTTGGGAATGTTTTGAAGATGTAACTGAGATGTTATATATAACAATTACTAGGTGGCAGCACAAGCTATATATATATATATATATATATATATATATATTATTACAGAGAGAGAGACTAC